GAAAGGGTCAAATTAGATTTTAATCGTGCTGGAAATCCTTTGCTTGAACTAGTTACTGAGCCAGTTTTTAAAAAGTTAGAAGATGTTTCCAGATTTATTAAACAACTTCAAAATCTTTTGCGTTACTTAGATGTTTCTGAGGCTAGAATGGAGAAAGGTCAATTGCGGATTGATTTAAATTTTTCTCTGCAGTTAGGAGATAGATATTCTACACCCCGCTATGAAATTAAAAATCTTAATTCGCTGGCTAATGTTGAGAAAGCAGTGAAGTACGAGATTAAGAAACATCAATTATTATTTTCTCAAGGTAAAAATCCTCCTCTTAGCCAAACATTAGGATTTGATGAGTCTCAGCAAGTAACTATTTCTCATCGGGAAAAAACAAATTACTTCTATTTACCAGAGGTAAATATTCCTCCAATTAGAATAAAAGTTAGTGAAGTAAGAAAGATTAAAGATGATCTTCCTAAATTGCCTTGGGTTTATTGAAAAGAATTAAAGCAATTTGACCTTAAAAGTGCCCAGGAGATTAGTAAAAATCCTGATTTGTTAAAGGTACTCAATTTTTTGGAAAAAAAAGAGGTTCTTGAGTTAAAAGAAAGCAAGTATTGGGTAACTTTTTATGCGAACTACCTTTCTCCTTTTTTTGAAGACAAAAGCGAGGAATTATTTATAAAAAAGTGAAAATCATATTGTATTCTTTTTCGATATTGGAAAGAAAAAAAGTTACAAAACGAAGAAATTAAGGAAATTATCAGTTATCTAACAAAAACAAAAAAAGATTTCAGTTCTTTAATAAGAAAGTATGAAAAAAAAGTTTCTATTGATACGCAAATGATAGAAAAAGAACTAAAAAATTTGTGGAATGATGAGTTGTCAAAGAAATTGCCTATTAACCAGCAAAAAGTCCAAAATTTTCTTTTAGGACAAATAAAAAAAAAGTATCCAAATTGTCCATGAAAAGAAATTATTATGATTGTTGATAAATTTTTGAAAGGAAAACAAAGTCAAGTTCTGTAATTTTCTTATCTCGAAAATATTTCCTCTTCTTTAAAAAAGAGTTTAATTTCTCTTTTAGCTGACTCAGGGCTGTCTGAACCATGAACTGCAT